GGAGAGAAATTGGCCAAGGTCAAAAAGTTTGACCATAAGAGAAAGGCCAGGTCTGAGATAGTTCCATGCGTCAATACTAAAGAGTCCATCTGTTTCTACTGCCAATTGAAGGAGCATTGGAAGCGAAGTTGCCCTGACTACCTGAGAGATCTAAGAGATGGTAAAGTCAAATTGTATGACTCTAATTTAGGTATATCCACTATCTAACTCTGTTAAGATTCTTATTACATGATGTGTTAATCACATTTTGATGTTTTTTTAGGATCAAAGAGAAAGAAGGAAGCTTAAATGAGGAGTAAGTTGAGTCTGATCGTGAGAGATGGATTTCGATCGCATGGTTCAAAGATCAGATTTTTGAGCTGTTGCTTAGGAGTGATGATAGATTGCTTAGGAATATTAGAAACATAGTTCTCATTTGTATTTGCATTGTAAGGACAAGTTTTCCGCATTTTATCAATAAAATAAATTTTGATTTTATATTATTCCTTGCAATGGCATTTATGAGAATTGGTGTTTATTCTATTATTATCAATGTTGAAAATGGATTTGATTCTTAGTTATATCACTATTGGTAGTGTTATAATTTACCAAGTGAGGAAGAGTTCTCGTCACCCAAGTTTCAATTGGACAGAAACTTGGAATCATGCGATTTGAATTATGTGATGTATGAGAATTTTGATATTTGGGAAATTAAGACTAATTCCTTGTTCACATGTATATGTGAGTGAAGTGAAGGACTAATGGATCTATTACACATTGATGTGGACTGGTCAGATCCACCACAAAGGACAATAAAGTCAATTCGTCATGATTTACTGTTGGTTCAGTAAACATGGTTATGCTTACAAGATTAAGTGTAATTCTGATACCTGGAAAAGTTTCAAATTATAGTAGAACGAATAAGAAGAATCAATTAGGCAGAAAGATAAAATTTTCTCCAATCTGAAAGGAAAGGAGAGTACTTTAGTATCGTGTTTTATGATCATCCTAATGATTATGGAACCATGTCACGATTAATCCTCTAAGAACACCTTAGTGCATTTATATGACTAAGAAGAGGAATCGGGAATTGTTAAAAATGGTTAAATCAAAAGGATGATTTGTACTTCGCTTCAAAAATCGAGTTTTAGAGTTATACTCTAGTTACTCCAAGTTGTACCTCGAGTAACATGTTTTAAGTAGGTTTGTAACACCTCATGAAATGTGGAGTAGAAATGTTTTCTAACTCTTGCACATTTGAAATTGGTAGTTGTGATGTTTTGGATAAAACAAAGACCAACTAAGACCAATTATATCAAGTGTTGACTTGATAAGAACCCGCACTAACTATTGAATATTTGTTTGTCAAGGAATGTTCCTTGACAAGAGAATCTTATATGTAAAGAAGTCAGTGGGAGTCTTGTTGATATTGAAAAGTTTCAGGAGCTAATCAAGAATAAACCTTTTGGTAATCACTAGAACACGACCTGGGGTTAATAACCTATCGTGTTGACACATTTTTGTTTCTGTGTTAGTTCCAGTTAAGTTGACTATGCGTGTGAGTTCTATGAGTTCTCATTTGATTGCATAAGGTAAGGCACCCTGATCAGTGAAAGTTCATTGATAATCATGGGTGAGCTGCACAATAACTTGGAAGCACTGGTAGGCCCTTGTGCTACTGGATGGCAAGAAATAAAGATTAAGCAAGTTCAGTCCATATGAGTTTGGTTTTGTCATAAACCTTGTCTTATGATATTCGTTGAAAGTGACAAATTCACATGGATAGGAACACATACAGCATAAAATCTAGGTTGGAAGTGGTTTCTCTCTACTTCATTAAACTGATTGTGAGGAAACGCTTTCGTAAGTAGATTTTATAGGATTGATTAATGTCCTTGGAGTTAGCAGTTGTGATAATTGCGTTTTCGAATTCGAGTATGATTACGACATCCCTTTTCATAGTTCGAATTGTGAGAATTGGCAAATAGTTTAAGCACTCGGGACTTATTGCTATAAGTTCTGGAAGAGTTTATACAGACACGTCAGCTATCTAATGAAAGGTGTATGAACTTGATATGTCTAGATAGAGACTTCTCGAAGCACCACATATCAGAAATCTGAACTTTGGTAAGAAAGTCAATAAGTATTGTTTTCTAGAAGTTCAGCTGATTTTTGGGTACATGTCAAAGCTAGTGGGAGCATAATCATTATGCTAGTAAGAACATAATTGTCATGCTAGTGGGAGCGTGATTATTATGTTAAGTGTTGTAAGTTAGCAATACTATTTGTAGGAAACAAAATTTTCAATTTGCAAAGTTGCAGAGTTTGGAAATTGTTTCGCTATAAAAGGTTTAAGGGAGAAGGTACTTATGCTTCATTTCGAATTTAAAAGCTTTGTTTGAAGTTTTAATGGAACTTAGTCATAAACATGTATGAATTGTGTATTGAAGTGATTCAACATAGAAAATTAGATATATAGAAATATTATAGCAAGAGACTGGTCAAGTATCATGTCTTTATGTGAGACATTATGAATCGAATCACATATGCTTCGGGTATAGGATCGATTGCATGTGGTGTAATATTTACTCATTCTAATTTTCCAAAATGCCTAGCGCATTAAGAGGGAAAAGGACTAGAAGCAGATATGACTAAAGTTATTAAACAACTGTCAAGGACAATCTGAGGTTTACCAAAGATTGGTTGCTTGTGGACAATTGGAAGTATAGTATAATTTTAGAAGGGCCATATTGACATGTTCTGAGTAGAAGTAACTGTTGTTCAGAATTGATAGTCATATGGGAATATGGAAATGTTTCCATAGTAGGAGTTGGTTATAGAGATCTATGTGTAATATTAGTAACTTTAATGCAAGAAGGATGTTCAAGGAATGCTCTTTGAATGTGAGACTTCATTTCCATTGAATTGTTTTGTAACAAATCTCCAATGGAATGCTTTGTAATATCATTGGCCAAGTCTCTGTGACATTGCTGCCTTGACATTACAAAAGGATAATTACATGAAAGGTTAAACTCTAACACATTCTAGTAAGTGGCATAAATTTGGTATTCTTACACTTGTGATAAGGATTTGGAATTGTGAAATGAGTATCATTGTAAATGTGTTCAATCGATCTGTTTTACAAAGGAAGGACCATAGATAAACATAGTATGCGTGTTTTGTGCATGGCATGACTGATGTTTTAATTCAAGTATTTAGTTGATTGGTCAAAACATTATACAATGAATAAGGTCTAATTAATATGATGATTAAATAATAAGTGTATTATTTATATTCAAAAGTTTTGAGACCATTGTTAATTAGGTTATTCTTGTGTTTCACTTCGCATGTTTTTACTTCCCGAATAATAGGATTATTCAAACATCCACAGTCGATCATACTTTGGAAGTAAGTAGTGAATTAAGACTGTCATGAGTTTGACTGTAGATTGTCTAAGTGCTTACACATAGCAAGTGTTTGTTGCAGTGTTCATGAGTACTCCTAAAATAGGAATTTGAGTATTGGATTCAACTCGCGCTCATTTGAATCACTTCATGGATTTTATCACGAATGATTGTGAGACGATAATATCATATATTCTTGAAACGGAGACATATAGTTTTTGTTTACAAATCGGTTGCGCATTGATAATACGTAAACGCATCAGTAGCTTGATGTTATAAAACGTATTGTTGTGTGTGATTTCATGAGTAAATAGTACAAGCATCTGAGTCCAAGTTTATCCGTTCCTTTTACCCTAAATGGGATAAAAGCGATATGTGGGCCCCTCGATGATTTTATGATGACAAATAAAGCGCTTAGCCAAGCCTGGACTGATTTGATTTGTTCAATTAGTCAGTCGCCATAAATTGGAAATCGGGAAACAAACCTCGGACAGAGAGATTGATTATAATCCATGTCTCATGTCCATATGATATTTTATAGAACGGAGGAATATTTGATCCCTTATCTAAAGGACGTGTTATTGACTAGTTTAGAGTTCGACAACAGCTTTTGAAAGCTACGATTGCTGATCAGATTCTGAAGTCATACGTGCAATTATAGTTATTAGACTTATCTAAGTGGGAGACTGTTGGATCATGTGTCTAAGACCATAACTATAATTGGCATGTACTTGATTCGATTGGACATTGGTTCAATTATAGTTATTAGACTTATCTAAGTGGGAGACTGTTGGATCATGTGTCTAAGACCATAACTATAATTGGCATGTACTTGATTCGATTGGACATTGGTCCTTTTGGGTTGCCTTCACTCATGCAACTTGACATGATGGCTAGTGGAGAGAGAGTAGAATTTATTATGTGAAATAATAAATTGGTACTCAAATGATTTTATTAATATATTATAAGATTAATATATTATATGTAAATCATATTATTAAATAGTAATTAATCAGAAATTAATTTGATATTAATTTTGGGATTAAAGGAACTGATTAATAATTGAGGGACTGTTTTGCAAATCATTGATAGTTGCAAAACTTGGCTACTAGACTCCTTAATTAGGAGTGGACGAAATCGTATAGGTAGGCCCAATAGATTTCGTCCAAGGCCTCCATAAGGAGGTGTCCATGGGATGGTTAAGCCTTAAGCAGGAATTAGGGTTTCCTCCAGAAACCCTAGAAGCCCATAACTTTATAAAGATCCCTAAGCACTTGGAATTTTGACCTATGCTTGAAAAAAAAAAGAAACCCTACCTGATTTCCTTGTCTCTCCTTCTCATCATTTGCATTGGGTGTTTGTGACTCCATTACAGGTGCAACACTAGGAGAACTAAGCTTTCAAGAGTCAAGGATCTTCAAGGATTGTCTTGTTATTACAATATAACAAGTGAGGTAATCTTCTAACCCTTTTTATATACATGAATTTCGAAAATTGTATACTAGTTCTAGGGTTATTGCTTTGGTGTTCTATTTGCATGTCAATTAGTGAAAAACATAGATCCAAAGCAATTAGGGTTGCATGATCACATAGGAATGTAGATATGATCAAAACCCATCAGTGATAAATACCAAAGATAATGGTATAAAAGAGATTACTTCCACTGTCAGAGCCGACAATGCGTTTTGAAAGGCTCTTGAAACACAATGTAAATAAACCATTCCACATAGTAGGAAGATTGGGCTCCCTAAACTTGGATAGCAATGTGATATCCCCAAGGTAACCCATATGATAAAACATATGAATAAGATCTGTGGAGGAAATCGAGTCGAGATCAACAAGCCCTTCAGTCGAATCAAACCCTAGAATTCTGCAGAATCGAGACTTAGAGATAGAGGTCTTTCGAGAATAAACTTCAAAGTTAATCACATCATCTGCTAGAACATAAGACGTATATGCATACGTCTTTAAAAGATGGACAAGAGGAACGGATTCTGCCATGGTCAAAGCTTGAGCCAGTGGCGATAAATGCAGACATTCAATCATTGGGTTTAGGGCTTCATTGTAGAGTGAGGCAGTGAGATCGAGAATCAAATTTTGACTCGGCTTCACATTCAAAAAGAGGACAGAGGTTGATTGATCGGCAAAAGAAGTAGTGTCAGATGATGTAAAACCTGTTCCAGGTTTTATTTAATTTGTCTAAGTTTTAGGGTTTTGTGCATGGACTCGATGAGTTGGGGAGCTCCAACTCGTCGAGTAAAGACTATTATGAGGACGCGGGATTTAAACCTTACTCGACGAGTCGGAAGGCCCCGTCTCGACGAGTAGGTGTTGTAGAGAGAAACCCTGATTTTCAGGGGTTTGTACCCTATTTAAAGGACTTATGGCTCATTTGTAGCCTCCCTCATCGTCCTTACAGCCCAGAAAGAATCCCTAGCCGCATTCTTGAGCTTCCTTGAGTGTGTGTGAGTCTTGGAGAGTGAAACTTGTGCTTTTGAGAAGGAAACTTGAAGGTTGAGGAGATTGAAGAGAGGAGAAGGCTTGGGATCCAGCATCTACTGGTTGTTAGCATCCATTTAGAGATAAAAAGTTACCATCTTGATATCTATTTTCTTAGATCCCATTTCATGGAAGGATATGGTCACTTTTGGTGCAAAATGGGGTCATACTCGGATCTGGACTTATCACAAGGATATGGTTCCAGATCTGGACCTCTCTAGGTCCCCAATGGCATAAAGTTGCTCACTCTATCCAGCTTAGGCCCTTTCCATGCAGTAGGGGCCAGCAGGGCCGGGGCCGGTGTGCCAAGTGCGGTAAACCGCACAGTGGGGCTTGTCGGATATCAGGCTCAGGATGTTACGCATGTGGCCAGCCGGGTCACTTGAGCAGGGATTCCCCAAGAAGGGCCTGATCGATTGCCCCAAGAAGGGCCTAATCTAGTTTTGATACCGTTGCGAGGCTGAAGGTGATTGTCGGGATGGACTGGTTGGGGGCTAATGGGGCCATGATCGATTGCGAGCACCAGTTGGTGATGGTTCGAACCCCAAGTGGGGGAGAACTGGTTATTCAGGGTGAGAGGGCCTCGCAGGGGCCAACCCTCTATTCAGCCGCGAGGGCTAGGAGATTTTTGCAGCAGGGATGTACGGGATTTCTGGCTTATATCTCAGATACGAGGGTTGAGCCCATGACAGATATGGGAAGTGTGCCGGTTGTACAGGAGTTTCGGGATGTATTTCCCGAGGAGTTACCGGGAGTGCCTCCGGAGAGGCAACTGGAGTTTCGCATTGATTTAGTGTCGGGTGTCGCACCGATAGCAAAGGCACCGTACCGGCTAGCACCGTTTGAGATGCAGGAGTTATCTACGCAGCTTCAGGAGCTACTAGACTGAGGGTTTATCCGACCGAGCAGTTCCCCGTGGGGAGCTCCGATCCTGTTTGTGAAAAAGAAGGATGGGTCACACAGGATGTGTATTGATTATAGAGAGTTGAACAAACTAAAGGTGAAGAATCGTTATCCGTTATCGAGGATCGATGATTGGTTCGATCAGCTGCAGGGCGCGTCTTGGTTTTCCTAGATTGATCTTCGGTCGCGATACCATCAGATGAGGATTCGAGATGAGGATATACCGAAGACAGCTTTCAGGACTCGGTATGGGCACTATGAGTTTGTGGTGATGCCATTTGGGCTCACCAATGCCCCAGCAGCGTTCATGGATCTCATGAATAGAGTGTGCATACCGATGCTGAATCGGTCAGTGATCGTTTTTAGTGATGATATCTTGCTCTATTATAAGACCAAGGAGCAGCATGAGCAGCATCTGAGGGAGGTATTGGAGGCACTAAGGGCGGAGAGGCTTTATGCCAAGTTCTCCAAGTGTGATTTCTGGTTGCGAGAGGTACGGTTTTTGGGGCACATCATCAACCAGGAGGGCATTTTGGTTGATCCAGCCAAGGTTAAGGTGGTGATACGGTGGGAAGTACCGAATAATGCATCTGAGATCCGTAGTTTCTTGGGTTTAGCGGGTTATTATCGGAGATTCATCCATGATTTCTCCAAGACTTTTGTGCCTTAGACCCGCTTAACCAAGAAGAATGTGACATTTCGGTGGGTCACGGATAAACAGTTGGCTTTTGAGACCCGGAGACAGAGATTATGTGAGGCTGCGATTCTAGTACTACCTGAGGAGTAAGAGGATTTGGTGGTGTATTGTGATGCATCAATCTCAAGGTCAGGCGTGGTACTGATGCAGAGGGGGCATGTGATAGCTTACGCCTCGAGGCAGTTGAAGCCTCATGAGGCGAATTACCCCACTTAAGACCTGGAATTGGAGGCAGTGGTGTTTGCCCTCAAGATTTTGAGGCACTATTTGTATGGAGTTCGCTGCACTATTTATACTGATCACAAGAGTTTGAAGTATTTGATGGATGAGCAGAACCTCCACATGCGGCAGAGGAGGTGGTTAGACGTGCTAAAGGACTTTGATTGTGAGATCCTATACCATCCAGGGAAGGCCAACATGGTGGCCGATGCTTTGAGCCGCAAGGAGGAAGGTTCCCCTATTGGGAACGTGTGTTTGAGGATGATGGTGATCTCTCCATTGTTGGATATGATCAAAGAGGCTCAGGACGAGGGTGTGAAGAAAGAGAATTGGAAGATAGAGCAGATTCGGGGACAGTATCCCTTGTTTGTTCGGGATAGCCGTGGTCTCCTGACACAGCGTGGCCGGGTGTGGGTACCGGTGATTGGAGGAGTGAGACAGAAGATATTGGAGGAATCACACAAGTCTAAGTTCTCTATACATCCGGTTGCTATAAAAATGAACAGAGATCTGAGACTGAGCTATTGGTGGCCCTGCATGAAGCGGGAGATCGCTTGGTTCGTGGAGCGGTGCATGACCTACAGGAAGGTCAAGGCTGAGCATCAGAGGCCTCATGGCAAGGTTCAGCCGCTACCCATACTCATGTGGAAGTGGGAGGAGATCACTATGGACTTCATCACAAAGTTACCGAGGACGGCGAGGGGTGTGGACGCCATATGGGTGATTGTGGACAGGTTGACAAAGAGTTCCCACTTTATTCCGATCTCTAAGAGTATATACGTTGAAAATTTGGCGGATATTTATGTGCGAGAGGTGGTAGCTAGACACGGGGTGCCAGTGTCGGTTGTTTCTGACAGAGATGTTCTATTTACATCTAGATTCAGGAAGAAGTTCCACGAGGAAGTGGGCACTCAGTTGCATTTTAACACAGCGTACTACCCCCAGACAGATGGCTAGAATGAGAGGACGATCCAGACACTTGAGGATATGCTTCGGGCATGCGTTTTGGATTTTGGAGGGAGTTGGGATACATACCTTCCATTGGAAGAGTTTTCATACAACAACAGTTACCATGCCAGTATCGACCGACCTCCATTTGAGATGTTTTATGGTAGGAGATGTAGGATCCCGGTTTGTGGGGTCGAGCTTGGACACAAGGTCATGGGGAGCACTGAGGTAGTACTCAAGACTATTTGGCTGATTCAATAGGTGCGCGACCGGCTGCGGGTCACGCAGAGCCCTCACAAAAGTTATGCTAACCGGCGACGATCGGATCTTGAGTTCCAGGTGGGGGACTTTGTGTTACTAAAGGTGTCACCATGGAAGGGAGTCATCAGGTTTTGGAAGAGGGGCAAGCTAGGGTCCCGATGTATAGGACCGTTTAGGATTACGACCCGGTAGGCAAGGTGGCATATCACTTGGATCTATCGGATGAGCTTAGCCAGATTCACAACACCTTCCATGTGTCACAACTTTAGAAGTGTGTCACCGACCAGGCCGCAGTCGTTTCTATGGACGACATTCAGGTGGATGAGAGCCTGAACTACATTGAGAGGCCTGTTGCGATCTTAAATAGGAAGACCAAGGTTCTTCGGAACAAGGAAGTGAAGCTGGTGAGGATCAAATGGCAGCACTGCAGGGGCTACGAATGGACATGGGAGCCGGAGGACGAGATGCGACACCACTACCCAGATTTATTTGGGTCAGCAGACTTGGAGGACGAAGTCTAGTTCAAGTGGGGGAGACTTGTAAGACCTGTTCCAGGTATTATTTAATTTGTCTAAGTTTTAGGGTTTTGTGCATGGACTCGGCAAGTTGGAGAGCTCCAACTCGTCCAGTAGAGACTATTATGAGAACGCGGGATTTAAACCCTACTCGACGAGTCGGAAGGCCCCGACTCGACGAGTAGGCGCTGTAGAGAGAAACCCTATTTTTCAGGGGTTTGTACCCTATTTAAAGAACTTATGGCTCATATGTAGCCTCCCTCATCATCCTTACAACCCAGAAAGAAACCCTAGTTGCATTCTTGAGCTTCCTTGAGTGTATGTGAGTCTTGGAGAGTGAAACTTGTGCTTTTGAGAAGGAAACTTGAAGGTTGAGGAGATTGAAGAGAGGAGAAGGCTTGGAATCCGGCATCTACTGGTTGTTAGCATCCATTTAGAGGTAAAAAGTTACCATATTGATCTGTATTTGCTTAGATCTCATTTCATGGAAGGATATGGTCACTTTTGGTGCAAAATGGGGTCATACTCGGATTTGGACTTATCGCAAGGATATAGTTCCAAATCTGGACCTCTCTAGGTCCCCAATGACATAAAGTTGCTAACTTTAACCAGCTTAGGCCCTTTCTATGCACTAAAACCTTGTAGGAAGCTTAGTTTTGATGTTATAGCCTTGGAGGGCCTTGCATGCACGTAAAGTTTGCAACTTTACATGGTATCTGCACCAGGGGAGGTTGGATCTGAAGTTTGGGACCTTAGATCCCACTACAAAGGGCTGAACATAAAAGGAACTGAAGGAACTCGTCGAGTCCCTTAGTTGACTCGACGAGTTGGGGTAGGGTTTGCCCGTATTCGAGTTTCTGAATGAGTGCAGTGAAGAATTAGGGTTTTGGTCTGAATGGACTTTGGGTTTTCTGGACATTTGATGAACTCGACGAGTCACTAAGGTGACTCGGCTAGTTGACTCGGGATTCATTGGAACGAACTTGGGAGGAACTCGACGAGTT